CGACTGTCATTGTGGGCAAGTCATCTACCCTTCCCGGGTCTCACTTTCCTCACCTGTGGTCTGGTGTGATGAAACACAGCCTGCCATACTGGGGGTTTGGAAAGACCGAATTAAATAACCCAATACCTAACACTTCTTTTACTCAAAAACAGGCTGAACCAGAAGCTCTGTGTGCTGGGCGAGCTTGATCAGAAACGATCCTATCGTAAGGCCTCCGTATTCAGGAGGTATTATTCTGGTTTATCTCTTTTCTCACTGTATGAGTCCTCCCCCACCCCCTTAGTTTAGTGTTCCAGGAACATCACAGAACCCAGATCATCAGTTTCCTTATGTGTAATGTGGGAGTAAAATTTCAGCCCTGCTTATCTCAGAGGATACTTGGGAGAGTCAGGTATAGTGATGAATACGACCAAACTTGAAGCTTCATGGAAATTCAGGGAATTTTTTTGTCAAAAAGGGCAGCATCTATATGAAGGAAGAAAGGTTGGGGAGCTGCCTCCAGATCTGATCAAAAAACAGCCCTTTTTTTTTTTTTTTAAACTGGCTATTAACATACATACATACATACATACATACATTTATTTATTTATTTATTATTATTATTATTATTATTATGAGCATGTAACGTATTGTTTGCCCCAGAGGTACAGGTCTGTGAATCATCAGGCTTACACATTTCACAGCACTCACCATAGCACATATCCTCCCCAATGTCCATCACCCATCCACCCTATCCCTACCCCCCCACACCCCCCCGCAACCCTCAGTTTGTTTCATGTGATTAAGAGTCTCTTTTATGGTTTGTCTCCCTCCTGATCCCATCTTGTTTCATTTTTTCCTTCCCTACCCCCCAGGACCCTCTGCCCTGCCTCTCAAATTCCTCATATCAGGGAGATCATATGATAATTGTCTTTCTCTGATTGACTTATTTCGCTTAGCATAATACTCTCTAGTTTCATCCACGTCGTTGCAAATGGCAAGATTTCATTTCTTTTGATGGCTGCATAGTATTCCATTGTGTGTGTGTGTGTGTGTGTGTGTGTGTGTGTGTGTAAATATATATCACATCTTTTTTTTTTTACATTCTTTTTTTTTTTTTAAATACTATCTTGTGTCATCGGAATTTTAAGTGCATCAGTAGAGCTGATTTTTTTTTGTTTGTTTTTTAGTTTATTTATTTGACAGAGAGAGAGAGATCACAAGTAGGCAGAGAGGCAGGCAGAGAGAGAGAGAGGAAGAGGAAGCAGGCTCCCCGCTGAGCAGAGAGCCCGATGCAGGGCTCGATCCCAGGACCCCGAGACCATGACCTGAGCCGAAGGCAGAGGCCCAACCCCCTGAGCCACCTAGGCGCCCCTATCACATCTTCTTTATCCATTCATCTCTTGATGGACATCTAGGTTCTTTCCATAGTTTGGCTATTGTGAACATTGCTGCTATGAACATTTGGGTGCATGTGCCCCTTCAGATCACTACATTTGTATCTTTAGGGTAAATACCCAGTAGTGCGATTGCTGGGTCATAGGGAAGCTCTATTTTCAACTTTTTGAGGACACTCCATACTGTTTTCCAGAGTGGCTGCACCAGCTTGCATTCCCACCAACAGTGTAGGGGGGCTTCCCTTTCTCCGCATCCTCGCCAACACCTGTCATTTCCTGGCTAGTTAATTTCAGCCGTTCTGACTGGTGTGAGGTGGTATCTTATTGTGGTTTTGATTTCTATTTTCCTGATACCGAGTGATGCTGAGTACTTCTTCTGTGTCTAAACCAGCTATATTTTTGTCCACTTTAAAAATCCATGTATCTTCTAATGTTAGAATGTAAACTTCATCTTAGTGTCTAAATCTTTCAGCTCAGGATTCGTTTCCCAAAACTCTAGGCTTATTTAAGCTGGTATAAGTTGGGTGTGGGGAGCCCAGGAGTTGCTATCCAGGTCATGCAGCATATGTGAAGAGGTTGCTGGATGCTGGGTGCTGCTCTGGGCATAGAGAAGATCCACTCTTTGTGCACATCAGATATCCTCCTGGCTGACCTTGGATTAGGACCAAAGGTTGTTTGGGGACTACTGAGTGCCACATAGGTGTTGTCATTCAGAACTTTGGCTCAGGCACAATAGAAGGAGAGAGGTTCGGAGGAAGAGAGAAGGGGAGTAGCAGTGGATGAGATGCTGTTTTTCTGATGCTTTGTCTTCAGGGATTTCTGGTTGTGGCCAGGAACCCATGAGCCCCGTAGACTCCTAAGGAAAGGGGACAGCAAGTTATTATGCAAAAAGATTATTGGATCTAGAAATAGAAGACCAGGATTTATGTTCCTGTCTTATCACTTATTGATGATGTTGTCTTGAGCAAGTCACTTAACCTCTCTGAGCCATTTCCTCATTCATAAAATGGGGGTCAATGGTGGTAATAGCTAAGAGGCATAAGGAAAGGTTTTGTAGACTGTAGAGTCCTTGAGAAGTAACAGTGGATCATGGTGTTGTTGCTTCATTATTAAGCCTGTTATGAGCAGGGTTTTTTGTTTTTTTTTTTCTTCCAGGTAGAAATGAGGCAGGCTTTGAGTTTGTAATTCCCTGGTGAATGCAGAGCTGGGAAGAAAGAAAGAAAAAAAGAAAGAGAGAGAGAGAGAGAGGCGGAAGCTGGGTGTAAATAAATCCTAACCCGTGAACATGGTGCAAGGATTTCTGGACCAGGTGTTACTGGGGTCCGGTTCTCATCCTTATCTGGATGCCTGTGCCTTAACTCTGCTTTTTGTGATGATCAGGCTGCTGTCTGCCAGATGGAGTCCTGGGATTCCATGGGCTTGCTTCAAACCTGGGAATTTGGAAGCTGGAGTGGTTGGGAGGGATGAAAGGTTGGGGGTGGTGGTGGTGGTGGTGCACAGTCACAGGGCCAAGGAGCAACCTGGTTTTGATGGCTTGGACTGCTTCACATTTGGCTTATTAGCAGTCAGGCTGCTCTGAACTCAGTGCCAGCTCACCCCAGCCATGGAACTCAGGACACTCTGGCCAGACCCCAGGGCAGAGTAAGAAAAACCTTGTGGGTGAAGAGATTTTTTTCTTTTTTAAACTTATACTATTCTCATTAAGCCTACTAATCTCTGGGGTGGCCCCATGCTTAGTTTGGAGATAGGCTAATACTTTAACACTAGCAAAATGAGATGATGTATTGACTCTGACAGTGAAAGCATTTTAACCATCTGTATTAGGGGCTCTAAAAAATGACCATGCCCTTTGATTAAATAATTTTACCTCTGGGAGCTTAACCCAAGGAAATAATTGGAATTGCAGGAAGAGTCTGTACTAAAAGATGTATAGTGCATCTAAAATATCCAGCATCAGATGAATGGAAATCTTTCTAGAATGTAAGCACGAATGGAGTAAGGACTTCTTGTTCACTCTGTATCTCTGGCACCTAAAACAGCGCCTGGCACACAGATGGCCAATGAACATGTTTTATATGGTTATAGACAAAAAAATTTACATCCATAGGATAAAACTCTGACTGGTTTCACCTATCTGGACATAGAGCATTCCTATGAAACATTTTGTAAGACGGAATGATGTAAGGCAAATCAGATTACTATAATTTATATGGAAAAAATTTTGAGCACTCTCAGACTCCCAAAATAACCTCTTAGGCCTTTCTGATATCTTAGGACACGTTTTGTTAATAGATACACAAAATAAATTGAGATAAAACACAGCTGTTCCCAGACGCCCTTCAAAACCCTGGCAACTTGATGCTGAGATGCTGGTGTTGTTCTCTGGTAGGGAGCTTGGGGGCGCCACTCTCTGCTTGCCTCCGTGAGGATTCCCTGCAAAACAAACACTGAATGCTTTTTGCTTTTCAACTTTTCTTTTTCTGAAAGCGAAAATTCCTCTTCAGATTTCTTTCGGTTAGTGAAAACAGGTACTAATATAGGTCTTTCCTAAAAATGAAGTGTCATAACATGAACTTCCAAAAAGGAGAGGGAGGGGGCACACATGGATTCAGCTATTTCAAATAAAGAAGTCTTAAGGACAGCAAATTGTCTATGTGACTAGGATGTGAAAAGGGCAGGAGACAGATTTCTAAATACAGCAAAATCATAATCTTTTAGTAGAGGGAAAAACTAGGGAAGGAGAAGATACTCAGGTATATCTGTATGTAAGTGATGAGATAATGGGTGACATTTTTTCTTTTTATATTTTCTAAAATTTCTAAAAGGACTGATTCTTTGATTGGGGGAAAACACTTTAATATAAATCATATTCTTTGAGGGGGGGAAGAAAATGACTTTAGATTAGTTTATTTATCTAGCAAACCAGCAGCCTTTAGAGCCCTCTCCTTTCTTTCAAAGAACCAGGCAGCCTTTGTGAATACACAAAACACCTACACACTTTGGTTGTGTCTGTTGGCTTGGCATGGAAGCTGATCCCTTCTAACTTCAAAAGGGTGATAGAAACCCCACAGTGTTGAAATTGTGCAGGTCACGTTGCAGAGACATGCCCATACATTTATATCCCATCATTGAAGCGAAGGCATTTTGTAGTAGGGAGAAGAATTTTAAGAAGATAGATTTTTCTGGGTGGGTGGTTAATTCTTGGAATTCTTTCCCTGGTTCATGGTTTTGGGAAGCTGTTGAAAGTGCTGTCTACTTTCTTTCATTCTTGTTTTAGCTCGTGCCGTCTTAAAGTAACTTGCTTCTGAGCAGTTTGGTCTGTCGGAATAAGGACTTCACGGAATGTCTCTCGAAGATGCAATGTTCTCTTGCAGCCAAGGCTTTCCTAGAATTAAAATCCCTGTGTCTTAGGTGGGCTTGGGCACCTGAGCTGAAAGTTTTTGTTTTTCAGTGCAACTGGGTCTTGACACATGAAGTGCATCTTTGAAGAAAGACCCACTCTCTCACCCTGGGAGGAATCTGTGCTGATCAGGGGTCCTCAGACATTTCTGATCTGTTGTTGTGTCTGCAAGCCTTCCCATTCCCATGACTTCTCATTCATTATCTCTCTTTCTTTCTCTTTAGCCATAACCAACAGACCACAGCATTCAGGCATCCTGTGAGTGGGCAGTTTTCGCCAGAAAATAGCGAATTTATTCTTCAAGAAGAGTAAGTACTTCTATGTATTCTCCTTTTCCAGGCAGAGTTTGGGAGCTTAAAGGCATTGGCTTAAAACAGAGCTTGTTGGACTATTTTCTGTCCCAGATAGAGGGACTTGGAGTGGGATGGTTGATTCAAAGTGGAATGCAAGAGTTTTGTTTTTCAATCTCCAGACTTCTCTCAGTGGGAAGATGTGGAAGTGTGGAGATGACCCAGGTTTGTGCCATGACTGGTACTATCAGAGCCTCTTGCAAACCCCCTTTCCCCTGAACGACCCCCACCCTCCTCAAGTATCATCTAACACACTAGCTGTGCTCTAAGAGGACCCACTCATCTGGAGCGAAATGGCCTTCAATCACACCAAACTGAACCAGCCTTTCAAGGAAGCCTCAAATAAGAGTCTAAGGCCAGGGCTTCGAAGGGAGGAGGGCTGTGGCACCCATTGTCCCAGAACACCTGGAGTTCTTTCTGCTTGTTTTTTCCATTGTGGGGACTTTCTTGCTCCTCAGTCTGATTTCAGCAGGTCCCCTGGGGTGCTCAGAGGTAGGTTCCACCACCCAGGGCTTATCTATTTAAAAATGCATCTACAGCCCAAACAGGGTGTGTTCTTCTCCCAAACACGAAGGCAGAGAAAGGTATGCAAGTGGCTCTGTTTCCTCCTGCTCGTCTGAGATAGTTCTGTTTGAAGTAAATAGTTCTGTTAGAGAAATGAATAGAGATGTTGGCTTTTTCTCTCCTTCATATCATTTTTCTGTTCAATCATCTAGACCAAATATGATCTGAAAATAAAAGATTTATATTTTTATAGTATTTCTCTCCCTCAGTACTTATACTTTTAAACTTTCTATTATGGAAAATTTCAAACCTATATACAAAAGAAAGATAAAGTAGTAAGTGTAGTGTATTCATCTCTCATCTTTAATAATTTCCAAAATATGCCTGATTTTATTTCATCTGTAGCTTCCCCCTTACCACCCAGATTATTCTGAAGCAAATTCCATACATCATTTTGTTCCTACAGTATTTTCAGTTTAGAATCATTACCTTATAGAACTTTTTTTTTTAAAGATTTTATTTAATTATTTGAGAGAGAGAGAGCATGAGAGAGAGCATTAGAGAGAGCATGAGAGGAGAGAGGTCAGTGGGAGAAGCAGACTCCCTGCCGAGCAGGGAGCCCGATTTGGGACTCGATCCCGGGACTCCAGAATCATGACCTGAGCTGAAGGCAGTTGCCCAACCAACTGAGTCACCCAGGCACCTCCTACCTTATAGAACTTTTAAAACTAGAAATCTATAACGATGATACTGATATTCCTTGCCTGTTTACTCTGTGCTGGGGGTTTACATATAACACAACAATCCTGAGAAGTAGACTGTCATCACTGTTTTAGAGATGAAGACACCAAGACTCAAAGAAGTAGGGTCACTTGTTCAAAGTTGCATGGCTGGAAGTAGAGAAAGTCAGGATGGCACCCCCGCTTGATCTCTAGTCAGGGCTAACCCTTGCCACTAGTGATTGGCTACTTGCTAAATTCTTTGGATTCTCCTGGTCCATGGGTCATGGGGTCTGACTTGGAAAGTATCAGTACTATTAGAAAGTGGATGAGAGGCAAAGATTGTCTTGTCTTCTACATTGAGACAGAACTGCTATGTAAAGACAGAGCCAGAATGTGGATTCTCCACATTCCATCTTGGAATGAGCATATTTAAAGAATTCCTGAAGGTTAGAAGCTCTTGGGAGGTCAGTGAGTTCAGTCCCCTTCCTAAGGCATCCTAGAGAAATGGCTGCCTGTCATTTTTAAAGGTCTGTATGGAGAATCCATTAGAACACATAGTTTGGGAAGTTACCAACTTTAATAAAAGCTTCTAGAGAAATGCAGACTTCTCATCACTGAACACCCTTGTCTTATATACACCTCCTTTTCCTCACTGTTAAGATTTTGTCCTTGGCCACTTCTGAGAAGGTAGCCTCTTTTATCCTCCCAAAATATCTCTGTAGCTAATCTCCATTCCATCCAGTTTCCAAGAAAAACCTTTTTTTCAAGGGTCACTTTTCCCCTCTGGATCACATTTTCTGGATGTCATAAGGACTGCTTGCTTGTCTCAGGTGGTGGGTGCAGGGTCTGGGTGACCAGACAATCCTTGAAGCAGGGAAAACGTGCTTTAGGCATTGAGAGGAAGGGAGGATTTCTGTGGACTGAGCTGGTGATCCCTGGGTTTATTCATTAAATACTTACAACAGCGTGCAAGACAAATGTAGTCCTGTCTGTGAAGAGTAGTAGAGTGGTAATAGTAGAGTGGTAGTGAAGAGAAGGTGGTAGAGTAGGGGAGATAAATAAACAAGAGGTCACAAATGTGATAAATGTTCTCGGTGGAAAAAACATAGGGTTCGATGGGAGTTGATAAAAGAGGGTTCTAACCTGGCTTAGGGATTGTAGGAGGCCTCTCCATCCTGGGAAGGGATGCTGTTTCAATTGAGACCTGTCTGTCCAGTCACAGTGCCCCAACCTGGGCAGTGACCTAGAGGGGAAAGAGCGTAGAGCTATACCAGTTGAGTGAGAATGAAAAAATGAGACATACCAGATGGACGCTGGAGGTAAAACTGGGCTTGGGAGGTAAAATTGACAGGACTTGGTAATTGATTGGCTGTGATGGGGTTGCAAAAGAGGGAAGACTTTCTTGAAGTGTCTGGCCCTAAATTGGAGGAAGGGGGGATTTAGATAAGTAAAGATAAGTGTGCACGTGCATGCGCCAATCATTCACAGCTGAAGGAAGTGTGACCAGCCTTGGTGGGGTCAGAGGGCAAGAGGGGGACTGACTTGTAGCTGAGGTTTGAGGTTTGCAAAGGGGAGGGAGGAGATAAGGTTGGAGAGGGAGTTTCGGCCAGTTATCTAAATTGCTTCCTCCTGAAATACACCCAGAGTTACCCCTGGTGGAGCTCTGGAGGGTGAGTTCAGCCTGATTTCACCTGATAGAAACCCAGTTTTTTAAAAATGTGTCAACAAGGGGTGCCTGGGTGGCTCAGTTAGTTAAGCATCTGCCTTTGGCTTGGGTCGTGATCTCAGGGTCCTGGGATCGAGTCCCACATGGGGCTCCCTGCTCAGCGGGGAGTCTGCTTCTCCCTCCCACTCTCCCTCTGTGTACTTTCTCTCTCACTCCCTCTGTTTCAAATAAATAAACAAAATCTTAGAAAAGTGCCAACAAATAAGATCCCTGTTTTGTTCCCTTAGAGGAGCTTAATTTTGTTGTGTGGTGTGTTATGTGGTGAGGGAAAAAGACCAAGATGGCCATTCATGTGTCCTTTACACATCAGCTCTTAGATTAACATCAGGGTGGGTGGAAAACTGGCTCTTTTCTTTTTCTTCTCTAAGGACTATCTGTTGAGGCCACGTCCACTCCTCTTGCCAGAGCCTCCACCTGAGGTTCTTGACGTGAATCCTTCCATAGCAGTGGTTTTCAGTGTGGTCTCTGAACCAGCATCACCTGGGAACATTTTGGAGCTGCAAATTCTTGAGCCCTACCCCAGATGTACTAATCAGAGACTCAGGAGCTAGCACGCCATAGCCTGTATTTGAATGGCTTCAGGTGGTTCTAATTCAGGTAGACGTTTAAAAACCACTGATTTAGACAACTTGCTATTTCCATCCTTACTAAGTTACTCCTAGATTCTTCCTTTCATCCTTAAATCTCCTCCAGACACCCATCATTCTCTGGGCTGTGGTAACAATCTTAGATGGATTTTAGTCAAATAATCTTGGGCTCCTTCTTGTGTGTGTGTGTGTGTGTGTGTGTGTGTGTGTGTGTGAGAAACCAAACTGGTCTCCATGTGGTTTCCTTGAGAGTATTACTTTGTGGACGGATAACTCATCTACCCCACTGCTGGCAGGTGGGGCTTACCTGAGCCCCTTGGTGTAACAGGTGTATGCCCACCCAAAGATGACTTCCCATCTTACAAATTGGAAGCATGGAGAAGAGAAATAATGTGAAAGCTATGATCAGTGGGTCCAGAGGACATGAGCACTGGGTATTTTGGTTTCTGTGCCAGTAATACAGAATCAGCCAGGATAGGCTAGGGTCTGCTGTGGTAAAAACAACAAACAAAATCTAAGTGACATGAAAGAATTAAGGTTTGTTTCTCACTTTAAAAAATGTATTTATTTAATTATTTGAGAGAGAGAGAGAGAGAGCACGCAGGGAGGGGCAGGAAGAGGGAGAGAAGCAGACTCTGCTAAGTGTGGAGCCTGATGCGGCACTCAGTCTCATTGCCCTGAGATCGTGACTTGAGCTGAAATCGAGAGTCAGATGTTAACCAACTGAGCCAACCAGGTGCCCCTATTTCTTACTTTTGCTCCATGTCCATCATGGGTCACCTAAGGGATTTTATTCTGTCATTTTTATTGAGGGATGCTCCATCTCTGTGACTCCAGGATGGCCAACGTCAAGTAAAAAGGAACTTGAATTGTGCACTGCTCTTTCACTTAAACTTCATTGACTAAAGCAAGTCAGATGACCTCCCCTAACTTCACCGGGCCAGGGAGGTGCATTTCTACCATCCACCTGGGAAGGCTGTCCAAAATATTTGTTGGCCAGCACTATCCTTAATGACTATGCTTAATAATCCACAGTCCAGATTTATTAAAGAAGGTAGGACCTTTTGAGTCCATCACTGACAAGCTTCTCTTGCTGCATGATTAGAGAGTTTGATTTCTCATTTCGCCTTTTCTTTTACATGATCTTGCTCTTTGTCAGAACCGTCAAGGCAAGGTGGGTATCAGTCAACAGGTCCTACAGCCTTGTTCCCCAGGGGATACTTCTGTATACCCAAGGCAACAGGCTGTGGAAATCCCACTTAGAAGAGCTAATATAAATTCAGGCTGCATTAATAAAAGTACAATATGTAGAGAAAGGAGTATAATAGTTCTGGTATATCATGGTGTTTGTGGACTACTTCATTCATTCATTCCAAGTTTATGGAGCATCAAGGACATGCCAAGCCCCACTTTGATCTG